TTGCCGCGAGAAGAAATGACGAAAATAGAGAAATAAGTAGAAAAGCTATAATAGTCAACTGTTCTGCTGGCATTAGGCTCTCAGTGTGGGTGGATGGTGCAGGTAATACACTGGGGCCGATCAAACCCCCATTCCAGTATTGAACAATTTGGATCTATTGGCTCCAAAGCCCTCTGTGACGACACCCCCACAGAAGAATGGCATTCTGGGGAGAGCATAGCGCCGGTTGTCCTGCGTAAAAAGCCAGAGACTGGGTCAGATGGCAGCCAATTAAGACTAAACAAGAAGCGAGGACGAGGGCTGGAGGAGGAGAGGGGGGTGGAAGGGTCCTGTCCTGTGGTACAGATCTATCTGGAGCCCTTTAAGCTTTTCACTGAGTCCGAGAGTGCTGTCACAGGGAGCCAATATCAAAACGCTCTCAGACAAAATCAGTGTTTGGTTAACCACAACCGGCTTACCCTTTTCTGCTTTGCTTGGTTTAACTGGTGTGTGTGAGGGTCAAGTAAGGGGATATGAGTTTTTTCCTCAGGTGAAGGGTTGGCAGGCTCATAAAATGCACCCCCAGAGTCGCTGGCGTGGGACAATATGTATTTGTGTTGTGGTGTTTTTCTGTCTGATCTGCCTTCCCCTCCTCTAGTCCCTCTGGAGCTGCAGCTTCCCTCTTGGATGATGTGTGGAGAAATTCAAAATAAATAAATAAGTGAGGATGCATGAGGGATGGAGAAATAGAAATAGTGCATTTCCGTTGTTGTTTTTTTTTTAAGTGCATCCAGATTTCAGAACTGTGGGAAGTCTAATGTGGCCTGCTGTTAAGTATAACCGAGACAGCTGGAAAGAAAGTTGAAGGAACAAAGAAGACTTTATGTGGCAAATGAATGGGCAGAGAAGACAAGGCACACCATGGTCGCCTGCAGTACTGAGATGTGTCTAAATGGAAATGAGGTTAATAGGTAGAGGCTGGTGGGGTGCATAAGACACAGGAGAGGAATTCCTTCTATTGGATTCATAAAACGTGTAATTTGTTTCTCAAACAAACAGATTTTCAGCAGCCATTCAAACAGACATGCTGCAGGAGGAGCGCAACACACACACACACACACACACACACACACATTGAGTCTAATATCCCCCTGCAAATCAAAGTAATGAAGTCATTAACTCCTTAAAATAACTTTAATGACTGATGGTTGCTTAGAGTGGGGTACCACTCTGCTGTGACACTGTGTCCTTGCAATCTGTAACAGTATGTAATTAATGACTGTATTTACCTCTGCGTGATTAAGACTCCCAAAGGTGGAAGCCCCTCGGGATCAAAACAAGGCCTCTCACGCGTTCTCCGTCATCTCGTGATACTTGGTCTATCCATATTTAATATCCAAAACACATTCTGTTAATGCACACTTTACCCGCCTTAGTGTTTCCTGGCACATAACTGCACTCACTTTCAAGCACACGCAGGGACACAGCGGCTCCCTCGCAGTCCTGTGGGTGCTTTGATCGGCTAATAGGAGAGGAATCTGTTAATCGAAAAAGAGGGAAGTTGCGAGGACAGTCTGCTTCCTCCGGGGCGGAGGGGCTTGAAAGGGTGTGTCTGTTTTGAGTCCCGTCAGCTCTGTGGCAGCACCACGGACAAAAAGGATGTAGGGGTAAGGAGCAGAGGGGGGGTTGCTAAGGATGTCTTCACTTAGTTTGTGTTGCTAGGCTGCCAATTCCCTCATGTTAAGTGGAAACACCCCCCCCCCCCCCCTTCTCTCCTCCGTCCAGGCACCTCATCGCTCCCTCCCTCTCCTTCTCCTCTAAACCAAAATAACTTCACCAACCATCTGTCACTGGGCTCACAGGTCTACTGTTGCTTAGGAACAAGTCAGACACTCACATTCATGTCTATATGCATCCTCATAAGAATATATCTTCATATAGCACCAGTTAGATACATATCTCCGCCTGTGACCGCCGCTTCAATGAAATGTGCAGCAAATCCCCAGTGATCCTCCAAAGATTGTGACGCTATAAATCAGCCACAGGTTCCTCAGTGTATGAAGCTTCATAAAGGGGAAACTTCTTGAGGACATGTAATAATGACATGACAAATTTAAAAAGATTGTGGTAATTAGTTCAAAAGAGCAGCGTGTCCATTGAAGTTCCCTCCTCCTCCACTTTGCAGCCACTTTCTCCTCATTTGTAAATTCTTTGAAGTTTTATACTTTCAAGCCTCGGAGAAGCATCGCCGGGCTTTAACTGTAGCTGAGGATTTACATATTGACAGAGAGATGAAGTGTAAGTACAAGCTACTTTCCATAATCACCCCGCAATAAATAATAGACCAGAATCAAATTGCACAGCATTGATTTACATGCTGCCAATTAATTTGCGGGAACCAAATCCGCAGGCTAACGAGATTACTCAGGCTTATTGTAAATGGGCAAAAAAATATACTCCTTGTTCGTCTGTCATCAGCCATTAATAAATGATCTGAAAGTAAACCACCTCCAGGCTTATGAAAGGTATTTGTGGATGGAACTAATCATTGTTTGTACACAAGCTTGTCAGTTGGTGGCTGAAAGCTGCTTACCCAGACATCAGGAGCATCCCAAATTGGATTTCATGGCCTGTGTTTTTTAGACAAACAGCAGATTAATTTTCTGCAGACAAGACTTGGGGAGTCGTTTTTTCCATCAACCTGCTGAAATCCTTCATCGTAGCTGTTCAGTTTCCCATGTTATAAGGACATGTGAGGTATTGTGTTAAAACAGGAAAATACAGTTTCTCTGCTCTGTCTTTTAACCAGCATTTGAGTGTGTTCATATACAATATAATTACGTTATATTAGCAGTTATGGGGAGTTATAGCACCTGCTCTCCTTTGCTGATGTAATTAGATAATAAATATCAAATTGGTGCACATTCAGGGTAGTTTCCAATTTGATTACAGTACCTCAGTTCTGTGATTTTACTGCACCGCTGTCTGAAATAGTCATTAGTAAATGTAATCATAATCATAAATTTTTATAAAAACTGCAGTTCTGTGTGTGTTTTGTCCAAGTGGTGTTGCCATACTCCAACAGAACACAGCTTATGGGCTTATAGGCTTAATGTCTTTATTATGTTATAATTGTCAGATAGCCCATGCAAAGTATGCGTAAAGTGTCAGTACACTGTATAGCTGTACTTACTTATGAAAAATAATATAGTAGGGAAATTATTTTGCGGGGTGGAGGTGCCTCCAGACCCCCTGGAAGGTTCGCCCCCCCGCCCAGTGTTGTCTCCATTGCCATGGCCCTGTCCTAAATTTGAAATGCTTTAAATACCACAGCACAGATTCGCTGGAAATCATACTGTATCTCTCAGATCATTTCCCTGCTGCACAAACTGGCCTCCTTGGGCAACTTTCAAACCTACTGGGCATGTATCCATCCATCTAGTAGCAATCTGTGGTGACGTCTGGCAGAAATCTGCTTCTAGTCATCAGGAAAAAAAAAGGGAGAATCTTGCAGACATGTCACAATTTTCAAACAAGTTTCATGTATGGATGGAAATCAGTTGAAATATTCATAAGAAATCTAATAATAAAAACACTGGAGTTATTTTAAAGCGTAGGTAGAAGGACTTTATGACTAATTAAGCACTGACCTTAAGAGAAAGAGCTACGTTTTGAGCAGTTCATCTAAAAGTCACTGCCATTACTTTAAAGTCTGACAGAGATACAGAGATGATACTGTTTAATGTAGACTGTTACACCAATAACAAAAAGGTCATTCAAAGATAAATGCCACATTACGGCACTGTACATATCAACATATTTTATTCAACAGATGCAGCCTGTCAATACCGTACTGACCTCATACAATAAAACCTCACATTATGCATGCAGGAGGATGTGAATGATGAGGGAGAATACCATTAGCTTCATATAGACAGAAGAATACTCTATTATTGTAATAAGAATCAATAATGCTTTGCTCACCCAATGCTCATATTTCTTCACAGATAAGGCTGCAGGGGTTCCAAAGGGGTTTCCTTTAGGAAACCGGTGTCCCAGGCAGCTGCAGCAGTTACACGCAACACCTGAAAGACAAAGTGACATTTGAGCAACACCTGCAATAAAAACAGCGAACAGTCTACTTTTCAGGGGTTTCATTAGAGCCGCTGCCTGAAAGGAGTCAGTGGGCGCAGTGAAAGCAGGGGAGACAATATTTCTGATAAATATTTGCCATGGTTCAATCGTAGATTATTAATTCATATCTTCATTTCTAAGTTATAGCTCGCTGTGCCTATATTGGTCTCTCTCTCTCTCTCTCTCTCTCTCTCTCTCTCTCTCTCTCTCTCAGGGGGGCCCTAAGTCACGTTGACAGTTCCCTCAGCAACAGGCATTAAACTCTATAAATACCTCTTGAAGTAACAGACGACAATCTGCAACACATTTTTTGATCCTAATTAAACTGAATGTTTTCAGGTTTTAAATGATTTTCATCACTTTCATGAGAAGCCTTCAAAGTTAATGTATGAGTCAATATTGGTGAGGCTTTCAGGTGTTACTGATGGGTAGAAATGAGTGCTACATCAGAACCAGAGGAGCACACTTCAAAGTGTCCACGTTTAAAAGTGAATTAGCCTCACTCATTCTTTACTCTTGAATTAAGAGGCTAACGGGAAGTGCCACTTGTTTGAAATACATTCACCTGTTGGAGGATTTTTAAGCAGTATTACTGCACTATTCAATATAGATATAAAAAGAAATGTGGGATAGTTCAATGTGCATCTGACGGCAATTTCTTATTTTGCATTAGAAACTAATTTTAAAAGAAAATCAGGTCAAAATAAGAATCAGACTGAATGATACATGTTCAAATTGAGTTTTCTCATTTATTTATGTCTATATCTCCTACATCAGAGGAGCAGCGCATTATCTAAGGCTATCTGACTACCTCCCCTGGTAAGGAGTGGTGGTGTGGTCCAGGGGGAACTCATCATCACTTTAAAACGCACCAGAGACTTGGCACAAAAGAAGCGCTCGCAGGCGAACACAGACGCAAAGGGACTGTCTCTTATTACAACGGAGGGAAACACGTTTCGCACCTTGCGCGCTGTCCAAGAAGACTAACTTAAAGTCAAAGAAACGTGGACTTTGAGTTGAAGAAACTTACTTTTGGCTGCACCTGGCAACGCTCTTTGACTCAACACATTCCAGTGATGTGGATGTGGTCATTACGCACTGAGGCTCGTTTAGTTGGACTCTAAAAAGCGAATTCTTTTTGGAGTTTCTTCCTCTTATTTTTGTCTGAACAGTCACATGACGCAAAGTTTTGCTCGGAGTCCAGGTTTTGTGGTGAGACTGTGTGCCTGCCAAGTGGAGTCGCGTGTCTGTTTGTTAATAACCCACAAGGAAACATGAACGTCTCCTTCTTCGACGTGACCCAGGGCGCGCTGTTTAACGGGAGTCAGACCCTCGCCGGGACTTTGGCGACATACTCCGGTAATGGCACCGACAACGTAGTGACCGGCGACGGTGGAGGGTCTCTGGTGCTGGTGCAAGACGAGCGCAAACTCTTCGTCATGCGTGTGGTGCAAATCGCGGTCCTGTGCGTGTTGTCGCTCACAGTCGTGTTCGGTATATTTTTCCTCGGGTGCAACCTGATGATCAAATCGGAGAGCATGATTAACTTCCTGGTGAAGGACCGGAGACCCTCCAAAGACGTGGAGACGGTCATGATCGGGCTCAGCTAGAGCATGGAGAGCAGGTACTGTGAAGAAGTGGAGCGAAGATCCGGTATGAGGATCTGGTGCGCGTTTTCTACTGCAGGTCAACATCTGCATCTGCATGTACTTCTCAAACACGCTGTGTGTGTGTGTGTGTGTGTGTTAGTGAGGAGATAGAAGATATGCAAAAACTTAACATTTCCTTCCGACAAACGGCTACAGGAAAGTAGTCCAGCGACCAATGTCCGTGCGTAAAGCTTGTGCGTAAAACACGGGAAATTGTTTACACGTGGGCCGATCTGTTGAATCTTTTGATTGAATTAAATGTTGCCAACTTGAACTAAGTGACGAAAATGTTTACAAGCTGTTACCTCATTTTTTTGTTCATTGAGTTTAAATTTGAAATGATTGTTAATGAATGTTTTTAAAACTGTCAAAAAGCATGATTGTGAATTCTTAATAGTTCCACGTCTGCCAGTGTATAATGTGGACGTGATGGACATGTGGGTATTCTCTATACAAAGTATTTTTCTTGGTCTCGTTTGGTAAATACTTGATGAAATCTTGCACGTTTTTCAAGGAACTCCGTCACAGCTTTATGGAGTGGTTCTGGTCCTGTTTGGCATGCTCGCTAATTGATATGTAAAGTGATTTTTGGACCCGTTTTGCACTTTTTAAATCACTGATGCTGCATGAATTATTTTGTACCAAAAAAAAAAACAACAACTTGAAATTGCAGCATGCAATTAAACATTGAAATGACCACATTAGACTTTGTCATCTTTAATTAGCACGAATGTTTGCAAAGATATTTTTCTTACAGTAATGTGTTTGCCTTTCAACATAGATCTGGATTAGCAGTCTACCAGTCTCACAGTGTAACCTTTTCATTTTGAACTCATAACAAATCAGACAGTGTTCTCTAATGTGATCTATAAGCACAAGATGGAAGCATCAAGTGAATATATTAACACACTATAGTAGGTGAACTTTTAAACTCATAGGGTAATTTTTTTATAAATGTTAAAGAAACTACACAGGAAATGTTATTTTACATAGCTTCAAAAGAAGATAGAACTTTGAAGCAGTCATATGATACAATCACACTCAATACTTAGGCACTCAGTTAAAGCAGCACAGCATTTATTGCGGCTTTATATAGAGAGGCGATGAGAGGCCAGGCTGAGTTATCAATCTCATAGACAACAGGCCGCCAAGCTCTTATTGGCTTTATAGCATTTAATCTGATCTCTCTGCACAGTGACCAGCTGCAATCAAGAAACATTCAGGCTCGCCTTGACCACTTAACTTCCCAGCAGCCTCCTCTGCATCTTAAGAGTAAAAGCATGGCATTCAACGCTCACATTCTTTTGTGCAGTCAAAAGTGTGTAAAGGAGAGCATAAATGTGAGAAGGAGACACATACGTATGTCACACAAAGAGTACAACTGTCCATGTGCTTTAAAATATCATGACTCTTCCTTCCCCTCAGTGTCTGCACATCTTCCTTTCCTTTCACAAGAGAAGAAACTTTCCAATTTTTATTTCAGCCAGACAGAAAACTCACAGAAACTGTCATTATGTGTCAGATATTAGATTTTCTTTGTGTCCAGCTCAGCATTTTGGTTCAATTTCACTTCTATTTCTTCTCTCTATCTGCACCCCCTCCTTCTCTCTCGTGCTCCACTCAGAAGCAACTACTGTTCTCATTATTATTTCAGTACTTGTTAGGAGAGCTGGGGTAGATGAATCCTTACAAACACACCCATGCATCCACACATGTGCCTATTCACCATGCACACATCGGACACTGATGTGCAACAGACCGGCAAATTCTGACCTCAACCACAAGTATCTCAGAAAAACAACATGAATAAATAAAACTCATTAGATAATTAGTCTTTAACGGCTGAGAACACAGACACAACACTCATTATGCGTGCATATGAAAAATACTGTGTATTTAAACATGCTGACATGGTGCAGCCTGTGTGTGAAGTGCATTATTGTTGCAGGAATGATTCATTCATGCCTACAAAGATTAATGTTTAAAGCCTGATCATTATATTTTCTGTTGAAGCAGGACACTATAAGCACTGTTGTAAATGGCAGGGCTGTGATTTCACTCAAATATAAACTGTAGATACCAGATTTCATATTGAGAGGGGGTTAAGAGGTCAGGCTGAATTATCTACTGCAATAAATGTAGTAATGTTGGTGAAGAGAGCTACTATTAAGACAATTTATGACAGTCCTTTGTAAGCCTCACCTTTGCTTCTACAGTCTGTAATGTATCTCCAGGGAAAAATAAATACAATTGTTCTGGTGTTGTTCTCATGTACCAGTGAATACTTGTTGGAAACAAGGACGCATGCATGCTATTTTTGGAGAGACGTTAATCGTTCAGTTATTAACTTGTTGCACAGAAACTCAGTTTAAAAAGATATTGTACAGTAAATCAGACATTGCCTCAACACAACGGCTGAGGAGGGGGTACAGTGGGGCTGAATGACAGAGGGCCTGGAACAACGGGGTTTATATATGTGTGTTGTTTTGCTGTTGTCAGGTGGCTGAAAAGTTTCTAGCAGCTCCCCTGCCTGAAGTTAGCCCAGTTCCAGACCTGTGCTGCACACATCTCCACTTTTTTAACCTATGTAAATATATCTGGTGTTGTGCTCATTGAGGCCTGTTTCCCAGGTTGGATAAACAACTGAGTCAATCAGAGCTTTGTAGGCGGGGATGTCAGAATGTCACCGGGATGTCACCTTTCTGTGCCACAACAAGAAAAACAGCAACAGAAAAATGCCAAGAAAACACACGGACGGGATCAACACAGCTATAAAAGTTCCCGTAAGATGACTTACAGAAATAACCACTTGTAAATTGGCATATTTCTTTGATCAGCGTGTCAAATGTTAAATACTTGCAGCAGCTGTTCCCACTGGCCATGTATGTATCGACTGAAACTGACAGCAACAGGGTGGATATGTCACTCACTGACATTTCAGCAAGACTGCAACCAAGGAAGCAAAACAGCAAGCATCCATCATTCTCTGCAGCAGAACAGGGGCGATACAATATATAAACAAATCTAATAAATTTGATGTTTAGCCCTTAAAAGGTACTGCACGCTTGAACATGTTTTAATGAGCTGTAAATGAAATGACATGACTGTAATGTGATGAAATGCATCAATGCTGGTGTTCATATAGACATTTTTACATCAAAAATCTGCATTTTAAGGATTAAAAATAGGTCAACACGCCACCTACTGTTGTAGAAAAGCCCTGAACTTTGCAAGGCCAATGCTGACATATACAGTCAACCTGATGGGGCTTATCTATGTCTGAAAACTTATTTTAAAAACAGGAACGTTAATGCCCTCTAATCATCTTAAGCCTCACATGTTGGTGTAAACTGTCAGGTTTTCAGAGCTTTGCAGACGGCGCACTGCATGTAGTTGCAAGTTTCAACTCGTCTTGATGCAAAGTTTTGGTCTGAAGTGGGCCTTAAGCTCAGACCTGAGGGCGGTTTAATCCTCCCCTGTACTAGGATTCGCCTTTAAATACAGCAAGAGCCAAATGAATTACTGCTTGTGCTGCTGGAGCACCAACGCACACTGTCATATCTTTCCCCAAGAAAGAGAAATTGAGGTTCTAAAAAGGAAAAAAAAGAAAGGGAAGAAAAGCAAATTGAAGGAAAACTGTTTTGTGAGATTTCTTTCAAAGGAAAGGTGAGCACATCCAAGACAGTTTAAGAATGGTTTAGTTAATATCAGGGCGGCACGGTGATGTAGTGGTTAGCACTGTCGCCTCACAGCAAGACTGTTCCTGGTTCAGTCCCAGGAGGGAGCCCTTCCGTGCGGAGTGTGCAGCGTGGGTTTACTCCGGGAACTCCGGCTTCCTCCCACAGTCCAAAGACATGCAGGTTGGGGATAGGTTAATTGGTGACCGTAGGTGTGAATGTGAGTGCGAATGGTTGTCTGTCTCTATGTAATGGCCCAGCGACCCTCAAATGGATAAGCGGTTACGAAGATAGATGGATGGATGGATGGATGGTTAATATCAACAGTTGTTTAGACTGAAGGCAGTCAGACAGCCAGGAATCTAGCTTGAACATATTTGCATTGTATTACATAAATTAATTAGCATAATAAAATAGCATTATAGCAACAATGTTGTATGGCAACAGTAAACATTAACATGTACCATATGGCTTCCAGTTTCAGAGGCAGCCACAGAGAGTGGACCAGCAGCAGGTCCTTTATCATCTCCTGTTAATGTTACTGAGGACTTGAGACAAGGTGAGCTCATATCGTGGGAACTAAACGTTATTCCAAGCATTCATTTGTAGCAGTCTCAGCTGAAAGGTGCTCAATAACACTAACATCAAGTAGACTGCTTTTTTATATTAGGATATAACCGGGTTAGAAGGTTAATATCAATCCTGTATGCCTCATTCTTGGTCTGTCCTTGTGGCAGATACGAGCAAGAATGTGTGATAGAGAATGATGGAAGTGCAGGGAGGAAGGAAAATGATGGTTGCTTAGGGTAGTGAGAAGGATGAGGAGAGGACAGAGGAAGATGAAGACTGCTTATGCATAGGGCCCAAAATATGGTGCTACACCTGCTTTATACTGCACAAAATAAACATCACACAACTATTAGCACTGGTGCTGAAAAATGCAATTTAACAGACATTGCTGATGGAGAATCACTGCTAATGAAGCCAATGTTTCTTTATAAGCTGATTCAAGTAATAGAATTCTCTGAGCAGCTCAAATCACATTATTTTTCGTGTATTCTTCTGTGTGACAGTCACTTTTTAAGTTATTTCTCCTGACTTGGCTGAATGTCAATGAAAATTACTCACCATCTTGCACTAAAAGTTCTTACTTTCTCACTTCAGAGGCACAACGAGTCGCCCACGATCACTGAGCATATGCTTAAGAGTTAGCATGGAGCACCACCCATGTATCCACAATCTGTCGTGGACACATGGATGGTGCTCACGATGGTGCTTCTCTTCACCACTTGAATGATCCACAATAATTACGGTATGCTCGGAAGTCATGTACAGTTATCAGCCCACAAGTTGGACTACTTACCAAAGTTGGGTGTACTTCACTGTGATAAGTGTGCAAAGAGGATATTAACCGGCTAATGTTGCAGTGCCAGTGCAGGAAAAACATGTTAACCCTTCACCCCAATCAACATGCGAGCAGTTGTGCAGGTTTGGAGTGTTTCAAGCTCTTGCTCCATAGGCTGCTGTACATTTGCTTATCAAGCAGCGTCACCACTGACCTTTTACAACAAAGACCTCATGGAAAATAATGAGCCGTACTCTGGCCATGAAATAGCGACAAAAATAATGGTGAGTAAACCAGCAGTGGCATGGAGCACTTAGCTGTAATAAAGAAAACTCTTCCAAGAAGCGTGGCTTTGAGTGAAAATACCTAATATATCATTGTGAAGGCAGAAGGTCTCTTGTTGTGCTTCGCTTTTCACCAAAAAAGTTTGACACACACACAGATTTGTCAGTGTAGGCGACACTGTGTGTGAAAGCCTTTTTGAATTCCCTCAGTATTTTTGATTGGAGGACATGATACACAAAAGATCTGTTTTCTATGCCACCGCAGGTCCCACAAGGATGAAGTGGCCTTTCTCAGCCCCATTCAATCTGTTTCTAATGGGTTGTGTTGTATTCAAAGGAGGGAGCAATAATAATACATGCAATGGAGTCGAGGAAAGGAAACGGTATCTCA